GTTTTCTTTATTTCTTCGCATATTAATGTGATTATGCCCCCGTTTGGACCACTTTTTTATCTCATTAATTTGAAAAATATGATCGTTATCCATCACATCCATCTGTCAATTTTAAATTTCTATCTCCTGTGTGGGACCCATGACAGCTATATTTTTTTCATTCTCATTCTATAATAATGAGAATCAAACGAGCCCTAAGTTATCAAATTAGCTAGATTTTCATTTTATGGTATCTATTTTCACTTATACTTAAAAAATAATTACTTTTGAAATTGAATGATGAGTTGGCATCATTATAGATATTTATAAATATAAGTTCCAAGATTTTATTCCGTCGTATCCGCATGCAAAGAGCTTACAAAATCAAATAGTCGCTTAAATCAAACAATATTGTGATCAACTAATAGTTTCCATTTTGGTAGGATTGTGCAACTTCATTTAGTTCACATCGGGTGAAAAGAAACTTTGAAGTGATGATATGTTACCGCTTACATGCGAAAAAATGAAATCATATCAACTTCTTCCGACATAGGATAATAAGCTTGAGTTTGTCTTGCTTCAAGGCAAAGAAATTTTGCATGCACAAGAGCTTTTCCTTTTGTGTTCAGCGGGAATTAGGTATTAGACTTTATTTTTCGAGATAAATGTCTTTGTTATGCTACAAGTCTAAGTTTTGAATAAAAAAGGGACAAGATTGGGTCCCACCATATCATAGCCTGATCAGATCTTCTATCTCGATAATGTCCATAATTTTCTTCCCGGTCAAAAAATTCTCAAACCAGAAATAATGCTTCCTTGGAATGGAAATGGAAATCGAGACCAAAGATTTTTTTTTTTATTAGGTCTCACCTTTAATCAAGTGTCTCCACTTTTTCAATTGACATCTCGGTTCTTGACCGTAATTGATGCGGTGAAGGGACAAAGTGATGAGCAAGCAAAGCTAATGAAGCCAATAAGTAGGGTTATACTAGAGCGGAGCAAGATGTATTCTAGTAAGAGAGTTAGTGCTAAATTGGTGAAAGACGTGATGAGAGTGATGATAATGTAAAAAATTTATATTGTTGCATATTTTAGAATTAATAATGTTCAAATGAAACCTTGTGGATACTTAAATTTTGTTAATATTGAAATGGTTTGCATTAAATTTGTTAATATTGATATTAAATGAAACACATATGAGATTGAAGCACTTTCGAGGTCTTGGTAAATCGTTAAAGGGGCCTTTTCGAGAACAATAATAGATTAATTGACCAAAATGATAACCAATGAAAGTTCCATTTGATCATTGACGATATGACGGTTGGTGATCTAAGATTGAAATTAATATCTCGTGATGATTCATACACAATTAAAAACAATGATATTGTCGGTGATTATCAGTGCTTCGCCTCAGCAATTACTAATGACAATGTTGTTGGTGATGTTATCGGGAACTACCAATGGCACTTTAGTCACTGACAATAAATCTTTGGTGATTGTCGACAATATGATTGTTGGTGACTATTATTGAAATTAATATACGTTGATTAAGATAGTTTTAGGTGATTTCTAACAATGTTAGAAATACCTAATATATTGAAAATTTTGGTGAGTAAAACTAATTATCATATTTTAATATATTCCTACTAATATAAAAGAGTCAATCCACTGAGCACTATTCATTTGTGAAGCATTTTCCATTCCCAT